CGATTACACATAAGAGCTACCTTTTAGGGCTGGGAAGATGGCTCAGTAGTAGAATGCTTGCCTTGCATGCCTGAGGCCCTGGGTTCGATTCCTCAGCACTACATAAGCAAAAAGGAAAAAAAAGCCGGAAGTGGCGCTGTGGCTCAAGTGGTAGAGTGCTAGCCTTGAGCTGAAGAGCTGAGGGACAGTGCCCAGGTCCAGAGTTCAGGCCACACACCGGACCCCCTTCCTTCCCCCCCAAAAAAGAGCTACCTTTTTAGTGCTTTGTGAAGTTCATAACTGGGTTTGAGTGTATTGGATTCTGAGATGATAGCGGGATGGGCTGGAGCAATTATCTAACACAAGAGAAACTTGGGCCTGGAGATCCAAAGCCAAGACTTAAAGCAAGAGAAAAATTTGTAAACCAAGATAAACCCATGAAATATGTGCATAAAGATATTATAAAAAGGATAAACCAGAAGACAAAGTAAACACCTATGTTGGCAGAAACTCAGGAGCTCAAAATAACCCAATTTCAGATCAGTTATACTTACTGCTCAGAACTTTCCAAAATCATTGTTATCTGCTAGAAAGTTTCTGCAATGCCTCAACCATGGCAGCATTTAGAATTGTAGATATTTCTCTTTCTGGGATGCCAGATCAAACTCAGCTAAAGTGAGCTCCTCTATATCAGTCCTGGTTGGAAAGGCTTCAAAGCAAGTGAATGAAAAACAACAGCCCTTTGAAGAGCCTCAATAACCTTAGACTTTGAGATGGATAGTAACTGCAAGCAGGACAGACTTGGAATACTGATAAGGCTTTAGAACTACTTCTATAAGTTTTCTCTAGCTTAGTTTTATGCCAGAATTTGAAATATCTAGAGTATGCACAAAGCCATTTAATTCAAGCTTATGGGTGTAGAATACTAGTTTGGTGATACTTTGTTTTTGCACAACTAGTCATTTATAGTACCAAACTCATGCTATCCAAACATAATTCTATCACTTATTTTCTAAGTGGACTTAAAAAGCCCATCTTTGTTCCTTTTTCCTACATATAGGCAACATGTATGTTGGAAAGGACTTTCCAGAGAGGCAAACTGGGTCTGAATCCTGTATTTGCTGGGCAAGTTACCACCTGAGTTCCATCTCCCTCCTCTGTAAATTAGATAATCCTTCCTCCTTTTATAATTCATAATCCTCACGAGTAATTTTGCTTGTAGAGCCCAAGATGTATGTAGGAGCTTTAGCTTCACTCCACTTTATTATTTTTACTTCTTTATTAAATGTATATTAATTGTACAAAGATGATTTCTTGTAGTTTCCATACATAAATCTTCATTCTTAAAAACTAGGCTATTATAGCCCCCAAAACAATTTTCATTATCTTTGTAAAGGTATAATTATGTGCCAAGGAAACAATATAAACCTCCCATTACAAAAAGAGGCAGGGTATCTGTGTTGGTTCTTGTGGGATAACCATGAGTGACTAAAGAAATATTTAAGGAGGCCAAGAACACTGACTGGGAGCTTTGAAGTGAAAAAGACTTGGAAGGCAACAAATTGTAAGGTTGCCTGTGGACCCAAAAGGCCACAAATACATTTTTTTCCAAGATAAAAGCAGAAAAACCTACTTAGTATCCACATAGAACTCTTATGCCAAACAAGAACAAATCTCTGCCTAGCCCTTGTTCAAATTAGGCCAGAAGAGGATGAGTGGGTTTTATTGACCTCTAAACCTAATAAAACCAAGAGCTCTATACACAAGTACTTTAGAAGTCTTTGACCTTGTAATCACTATGTTCACTGAAGTCAGCTTATTTCTGTTTCTGGAGCCTCAGCTTCTGTTTTCTGAGAAGCTAAGAGGACTTCACCCGCTCGTTTCCTTCGCAGTCTCTCAGCATTTGTAATCATCATAGGATGCAGAGGGAAAAAACCAGAAAGACCTGGAAGCAACAGGATATTCAATATTTTTAATACAGTGTTTTTTAATGTCAGTGTTTTCCTGGGCACTCTGCCTATCAGGTCTGACTCCAGACTTAGAGCATAGGTCTAAAACATGCCCCTCCTTCCCCATTTGCTACAAGAAGCCAGAAGAGGGCTACTTCCTAAAGCTGTTGTCTTCCTAAAGCTGTTACTTGGGGAGGAAATAGGCATCCAAGACACAACGTTCTCATTTTTAGCATAAAATCCCAGTCATCCAGTCCTATGAAGGAGTCCACAAAGGGATTCTCCAGATTGGTATGGTGGTAAGCTCCCACTCCAATCCTAGGCAGCCTAGAGGGAATGAGAATCATTGCACAAGCTCATCGAGGAGCTGACTTCAGTATAAGAAAATCTTTTTTTTTTTTGGTCCAGTCGTGGGGCCTGAACTCCGGGCCTGGGCTCAGCTCTTCAGCTCAAGGCTAGCGCTCTACCACTTGAGCCACAGCACCACTTCCAGCTTTTTTCTTTTTGCTTATGTGGTGCTGAGGAATCGAACCCAGGGCCTCAGGCATGCAAGGCAAGTGCTCTACCACTGAGCCACCTTCCCAGCCCTAAAAATCTCTTAAGAAACAGAGATGAGTTACCGAGAAGTTTCTCCATAGGTTTAGAGAGGTGAGCCCCACAGCCGATCCAATGCCGAATCCTGTCCAGATTGAGAGCAACGAGCTTTTCTCCATGGCTATTGGGCAGCGGGTCATAGGAGCCCAACTGCTCCACGAAACGCCCGTCCCGGGGACATTTGTTGTGAGCAGCAACAATGCGGTAAAAGGGCCGGTTGGTGCAGCCGCCGAGAGCAAGGCGGATGGTTAGGTGGCCCCCGCGGTAGTTCTTGCAGAGAAGAGTGGCTAGAGAGAAGTAATTCATGGGGACACGAAAACGTAAGGCACAGAATGGGCAAAATAGGATTCTTTCCTTCCCCCACCGAGCTGTCGTTCTGTGCAATCTATTGTAGTTCGCCGGGCCTGGGCGTCGCCTTGGCTGTGCCCCGAGCCCGCCCGCTCAGGCCGGCCTTAAACCTGAGGAGAGGGCCGACAGCGAGGCCCTGGCACTGGCCAAGCTCGGGGAGACCCTCTTAGTCCCCGGACGCCCTAACCCTTCTCCCACCCCGGGACTCACTGAGGCGGACCATGGTGTGGCGAGGGGGACGGGCGGGAGGTCGACGTGCCCGGCGCCACACTGCTCCCCAAAATCTGCTCCACCACCTCGCAAGAACCCAGGTTCCGGAAGCGACGGCCTTCTTGCCCCGCCTCTTTCGTTCTTCCTGCCTATATTTCCCACAATGCTACTCGCTGCCGCGCATGTAAATTGCTGCGCAAGCGCGGTTTCCACTGGCGACCGAGTGGGTGGGGCTTCCTTGCGGTTAGGGTTGCCTGAGCCGGTAGTGCCCTGCGACCCCGCCGTCCTGCACGCATTCCAGGAGGGGGCGCTCCCGGGCACCACTCGTTTGGGACGCAGGCTCAGTGCGGGTCTCCGGAAGCTCTGGTCGTGGGGACTGAGAAACCGAGGCAGGCGGTCACTGCCTTACAGGAGGGCTGGAAAGGCGAAGCCGGTTCTTGAGAAGCCGTTAATTCCCTTTTTAGTTTTGGCTGTGCTGGGATCCAAGAGCGCAGGATGGGAGCGCGGATTTGTCACACTAGGACTCTAGAACACTGCTGCAAGTAGCTCCGAGTTTTGCTTCTCTTATAGGGTAATGGTGTCTTCGCGGAGCTCTTGTGGTCTAGATCCATGAAGACCCTTGTTGGTTAAGAGGAAGCACCACTACCCTCAGCACAGACCTCTCTGTTCAGCATTTCTGTTCACCTCTGGTTCCAAAAGGCCTGGCCAGTCATCTAGGCCCACCTTTTAAGAATGCCTACTTTAGCCCGCTCTGGTGTGTCACTCATGTGATCCTAGCCACTCAGGAGGCTGGCATCTGAGGATCTCAGAAAAGTCACCGTGAGACTCTTCTCTCCAATAAACTACTCAAAAAAGTTGGAAATGGCGCTGTGGTTCAAGTGGTAGAACACTAGCCTTGAGCACAAAGAGGCTGAGGCAGTGCCCAAGCCCTGAGTTCAAGCCCCAAGTCAGGCAAAAAAAAAAAAAAAAAAAGAATGCCTACTTAGTATACAGTATACAGACAAATCTGGTAGGACTTAGCAGTGACTTCATCTGGGAATCACCTAACATACATATTCACATCAGAAACCCAAATAGCAACACCATTATAGCTTTTTTGCATTTATATTTTGTAGGGAACTCTGAAGTTGAGCTGTAAAAAACCTAGGAAAGGTTTGAGAGGTCAGAACGCTGCCTCAACAGCACTCAGAACCCTGAGAGCTGGCCATGGAAGGGTTAAAACAGATAGCTCCAGAGAGGGTTAGAAATTGGATTAAGCCCCCCCCCCACCTCCCTCCCCATTCCTTGGGCTGGCAGCTGCCAGGGATCTTGACAACCTTGGGCTAAATATTTGGACACTGTGTCTGGAATTTCCCTAGGCTGCAGTCTCTTGTCTCAGAAGTATAAGGGAATCTATGTCTCTCACAAACTGTTTTAGCTCTGATAGTAACATTAATATAAATGCTTTATGTTTTGCCTATATCCATATGATTACCTTCCCTGTGTAAGCTCAAATAAATATGATTGTGGGGACTCAGGGTCCAAGTGCCAGAGAGCCTTGGGACCCCTAGACACCACTGATGTTTATCTATTATCTCTGCCTTTTCTAATTTTCTTCGGCCCAGTACCCTGTAGTGACAATATATACCTATATAAATAATTGCATGTTAGTTGTTACATAAGTATAGAAGTGTGTATAATGTATGTATGTAGTGTATACCTTAATTCCAGACCACACTGATGAATTCTGAATCTCCTGTTTACTTTTTATTGTAATCCAGTTTAGTGTTTAATAAAACCTCCAATAACAGCCACTGGAGATGAATATGGTTTGTTTGTTGTGAACGTTCTGTGCCTTCCAGCTTCAGGCTTTATATAGTGAAACTTTCTGGGAAGAAAAGGAGTTGAGTCCCAGACAAAAAGTCATCACTTGTAAGGACGTCAGAAAGATGGATTTCCAAAGCCAACCATTTCCTGTACAGTGTGGATTTCTGCAAGCAGAACCTCATCTTTCAGTTTCAGCTAAATCAACAAAGGAGGAAAGAACAAGTCAATGACATTTTTGATATACATATATAGGTTTGTGGAGGGGGGGGTAGTATGTGTGTGGGTGTATACATGTGCACACTAGTCCTGGGGTTTGAACTTTAGGCTTGAGTGCTGTCCCTGACCCCATCCCCCACCCCTCTAAAAAAAATGGGGAGGGGGGAGTCAAGGAGCTTGATCTCAGGGCCTAGGTACTGTCCTCCTGAGCTTTTTTGTTCAAGACTACCATACTACCACTTTGAACCACAGCTCCACCTCTGGTTTTCTGGTGGTTTATTGGAGAGAAGAGTCTCAGACTTTCCTGCCCCAGCTGGCTTTGAACCTCAATTCTCAGATTTCAACCTCCTGAGAAGCTAGGATTACAGGTGTGAGCCACCAGCACCCAATTGCTCAAGGCTACTGGGCTACTACTTGAGCCACAGCTCCATTTCTGTCTCTTTTTTTTTTGCTGGTTAATTGAAGATACAAGTCTCATGGACTCTCCTGCCTTGTCTGGCTTCAAACTGTAATCCTCAGCTCTCAGCTTCCTGAGTCATTAGGATTACAGGTGTGAGCCACCTTCACCAATGTTAAAGACCCCTCATTTATGGGCCACAGCTCAAGAACAAATTTGGGGTAGGATGGGCTTTTCTTGTATTTTCTATTAGAACATTGTGATGGCTATGTGCATATTTTTACTTTGAAAATGTAGCAAGTACTATGAACTTGCATTATTTTGGCATGTTTATTTGAAGCTTATTTTACAAGTGTTCACACTATCACTTCTAAATAAATTTTAAAAATTGAGCAGCATCTCTCTGCAAATGAGTACATCCATTTGGTGATTAAAAGAAAGAAATCAGATATGAGAGCCTGTGGCTCACACCTATAATCCTAACTACTCAGGAGGCTGAGATATGAGGATCATGGTTCAACGCCAGCCCTGGCAGGAAAGTTTGTGAGGCTCTTATCTCCAATTAACCACCAGAAAACTGCAGGTGGAGCTATGGCTCAAAGTGGTAGAGTGGTAGCCTTGAGCATTTAAAAAACTCAGGGACAATACCCAGGCCTTGAGTTCAAGCCCCATGGAAAAAAAGGAAAGAAAGAGAAAGAAAGAAAAAAAGGGAGGAAAGAAAGACAAAGGAATGAAAGAAAAGAGAAAGAAGAAGGAAGGAGAGAAAAGAGGAAGGAAGGAAGGAAGAAAAAGAGAGAGAGAGAGGGGGGAGGAATGGATATATCAGACACAAGAATCATGGGGGACTAATCCTAGCTATTCAGGAGGCTGAGATCTGAGGATCAAGGTTTAAAACCAGCCTGGGAAGGAAAGTCCAGGAGACTCTTATCTCCAATAAACTACTCCAAAACAAAAGCTGGAAGTGGCTTTGTGGCTCAAGTGGTAGAGCCCTAGCCTTAAGCAAAAAGAAACTCAGGGACAGTGCCTAAGCCCAGAGTTCAGAACCCAGATAAGGGATAAAAATGCTTGATACAATTGATAGAGAAAAAGTGGTTGGGTCTCTGATGCTAGCACTAGCTAGAGTACCAACCCTCAACTTTTCATTAGATTAGGGGGGGAAAGCAATTTTATTAAACTTCTGTGTTTCAAGTCAAATTAGTTGCAATTCATAACTGACTAGATCAGGAGTAGTTCATGAGTTAAATCTAACCCACTACCTATTTGTTGTAAATAAAATTTTAATGGAACATTTCCATTCATTTAAGTATCATCTATGTCTGAAGCTACTTTTACACTTACAAGATTAGTAGTTGCAACAGAGACTGTTTGGCCCAGGAACCCTAAAATATTTCCTATTTTGTCTTTTATACAAAAAGTCTGTTGAGGGCTGGGAAGGTGGCTCAGTGGTAGAGTGCTTTCCTTGCATGCCTGAGGCCCTGGGTTCAATTCCTCAGCACCACATAAGCAGAAAAAAAAAGCCAGAAGTGGCACTGTGGCTCAAGTGGTAGAGTGCTAGCCTTGTTCAGGCCTTATGACTGGACCCCCCCCCAAAAAAAGTCTGTTGACTCCCTGGACTAGACTCCATTTTGCACATGAGGGATATGAAGCCCAGCATTAATACAACAAGTGAATGGCAATTCCAGAACCACTGTTCATTCAGGTCAATTTACTACCTGGTTGGCTGTGTTCTCTCTAAGGATAAAGATAGGTCACTCATGGCAATATCAATGTTATTACACACTCAGTAGCCATATAAAATTCGCAAAAGCTCCAAATTAAGCCAACATTTTTCCCAGTATGGTGCAGGCATGTGACAAAAGCATCTGTCTCATACCTTTAACGTGTACTTGTAGGCCTGCTCAGCTTCCAGTTGCCGGCCATTCTGAAAAAGAAGTACAACAGCTGGTGATGATGACATATAAACATTACCACACCACTGGAAGTACATTGCCTCAAGTGTTTTTACCTAGTACAGCGGGTAATGCTTTCGTAGTTAAGATCCTCTGAATTCAAAGTAGAAGCAGGAAAATAAAAGAGGAAAAACCCAGGCCTGGGAATGTGGCTTAGAGTGCTTGCCTAGCATGCATGAAGCCCTGGCTTCCATTACTCAGTACCACAGAACCAGAAAAATCCGCAAGTGGTGCAGTGGCTCAAGTGGTAAGAGTGTTAGCCTTGAGCAAAAAAAGAGCTCAGAGACAGTGCCCAGGCCCTGAGTTCAAGCTCCAGGACTGGCAAAAAAAAAGGAAAAGACAATGTGTGTGTGTATATATGTGTGTGTGTGTGTGTGTGTGTGTGTGTGTGTGTGTGTGTGTGTATGTGTGTGTGTTTATTTATTTATATTTATATTTTAATCCCTCCTTCACAGGGCACCAGTGGCTCATATCTATAATCCTAGCTATTCAGGATGCTAAGATCTGAGAAATCAAGGTTCAAAGCCAGCCCAGGCAGCTAAATCTGGGACACCTAGAATTTTCTAGAGGAAAAAAGCCAAGAGTGGTGGCATGGCTTAAGTGGTAGGGAACCAGCTATGAGCAAAGGCCTAGAGTTCAAGCCCCCAATATTCATTCACTGTCTGTCTGTCTGTCTCTCTCATACACACACACACACACACACACACACACACACACACACACACACACACAAATAATCCATTTTAGAAAACTTCAGAACAATTTGGCCTCTCTTTTAAAAATAAATAAGTAAATAAATAAATAAAAGCACCATGAATCATTTCTTCCTCTTGGACTGAAGCAATTTCATCAATAATAGTAAATATGGTACTTAATTGATTCATATTGTTTTCATGATGAAGCCTTCAGTGTGTTATATAGGCTCACTTTTAATCCTTAAGACATAGGAAATAATTATTTTATATCATTCCAGGATAAAAGAGAAACCTAAACACAGGATAAATGGCTTGCTAGGGTTATTAAAGTACAAAGAGGAAGATCCAGTTTCAAAACAATGAAGTCTGGCTCCAGAGTCCAAGTTTTTACCTAGCACATTTTATCCTACCTATATATGTTAGAAAGAGAAAATAACAGGATGCTTCCACCATGAAGATATGGATATAAGATGAGGCCACTAAGTACTCTTGCTGATATTATTCCTCACATGAAACACTCCTCCAAGCCAGACACTTGTGGCTCACTCCTGTAATCTTACCTATTCAGGAGGCTGAGATCTGAGGATCAAGGTTCAAAGCCAGCCTGGACAAGAAAGTCGGTAAGACTCTTATCTCCAATTAATCACCAGAAAAATCCCAAAAGTGGTGCTATGGCTCAAAATGGTAGAGCACTATTCTTAAGCAAAAGAGCTAAGGGACAATGGTCAGGCCCCAAATTCAAGCCCCAGGACCAACAAAAATAAATAATAAATATGCAAAGAGTTAAAGGAGATGGCATAAATTCATTATTATACTCCAAAGTTTATACATTAGCATATACACAGCTAATTGGGAAAGCTTAAAGTATGTAAATATAAAAATACAAAATACCTGTACTGTAAGAATGAGTATCTAGTCCAGGGCTGGGAAGGTGGCTCAGTGGTAGAGCACTTGCCTTGCATGCCTGAGGCCCTGGGTTCGATTCCTCAGCACCACATAAGCAAAAAAGAAAAAAGCCGGAAGGGCGCTGTGGCTCAAGTGGTAGAGCACTAGCCTTGAGCTAAAGAGCTGAGGGACAGTGCCTAAGCCCAGAGTTCAGGCCCCATGACTGGACCCCCCCAAAAAAAAAAAAGAATGAGTATCTAGTCCAATTTCCTGATCAGTTCTAGTCCATATGAAATTTGCTATACCATAAAACTTTCATACTCCAAACTCTTACTTCCTACAATATTCACATTTAGAAATATCCCTCCCTGGAGATCACTGAATTGCTAGGGATATTTTCCGTCATACCTTCTCTTCCAGCTTTATTGCCTTTGGTTCCTTTCTGCCATACAGGTAGAGGCACAAATAATGTGAGCAACCAGAATAGGTAAATTAATATTGAAAAATAGGAGATGGTTGTTTTTTGTTTTGTTGCATTTTGGTTTTTTGCTTTCGTGAATATTCTTGCAGTGAACATTCTTGGACATAAGTTCATGTTTTCACCCTTTGGAACATATCTAGACTGGCATTTTGCTGAATGGTACACTGCTCTTGACTACCAATAGGAATTCCTCACCAATATTAGTAAATCATACTTAAACTTTTTATTTAAAACATTAACTTAATGTGTATTTTAAGGGGTTTCATTGTGATATTTTCCTTCTAGATGAAGGAGTTCAATAAGAATAAATGATTCAGAGACTCACAGAGCATTCTTTTTGCTAATTCTTCACTGGGTTTTCATTCTGACACAATATTACTCCCATTTTTAGAGCATCATTTCTAGCAAAAACACATCTGAATATATGGCTTCTCAGCACATTCCAAGTGAGAATACCCAGGATTAAGTCTTTCTTTTGGTTTCAAATGGCCAGATCTAGAGCTCATAAAATTTCATTTATACTGTGTATGTTATTATGCATTATTGATATGCATTAGTAGATGTCTCACTTAGTTGGTCTTTCATCTGTGTCCCCTAAAAAGATTATGTAAGGGTTATTAAGAGTTCTCACTGATAAGTGGATGCTAAATCCAAAATGTTAGGTGATACGATAAAATTAACAGGACTTAAGAAACAAAGAACTCCCACTCATCTGGTCGAACCACTACTAAATATCCCCATGCTGCTGATCACATGTATGGTGTATATGTGTACGACGTTATATGTTATAGACTGTGATAGACAATTTGCTCCAGGAAAGTTAGAATGAACTTGTGACTTTAAATGAGCATCATTATTCCACAATACTGTGAAATTTGGGAAATTATGTAATCACTTAATCACAATAAAAACAAAAACAAAAAAATAGAACCTCGGGGAAGGTAGGGAGGGAAGGGATGGTAGGGGGAAAACAATGGAGGGAGTAACAATGCTCAATAGGAAGTGTACTCATTACCTTGCTCATGTAACTGTAACCCTCTGTATAGTATCTTTACAATAAAAAAATTTTAAAAAAAAGAGTTCTCACAGCTGGACCTGGTGGTTCATGCTTGTAATACTAGCTCCTCAGGAGGCTAAGATCTGAATGAGGATCACAGTTCAAAGTCATGCCAGGCAAGAAAGTCCATCAGACTCTTATCTCCAATAAACTTCTCAGAAAAAAAAAAACTAGAAGTGGCACTGTGGCTCAAGTAATAAAGCACCAGCTTGGAGCACAAAGAGGCTCAGGGACAGCATTCAGACCCTGAGTTCAAGCCCCAGGACCAGCAAAAAAAAAAAAAAAAGAGTACTCACTTTTAGGCAGACCAGAGCCAGATATGCCCATACTTCAGCATTGTAGTTGTTTAATGCATTGGCTTCAGAAAGAGCATCCTCAGCCTCTGTGAGCTCCTCCAGCTTGAAAGAAAAAGGAGACATGAATTGTAATGCACAGTGGTTTTCACTTAAGCCAGCCTAGCTGAATCCACTATATCCAAGTAGCAGATGTTTATGGCCTATGCCAATCATCTTCAACTTTTTCTATTTCTAGCATCAGAACTTTGTTTAAACAAAATCTTCTATGGTGGTACATTAAAAGCAGAACCTCTCTGCTTAAAAATCCAGGGAGGAGAATCTAGAACCCTGTTTCTTAGACCCTCCATCTATGAATCTCTCTTCTTCCTTCACAGTGGCCCCATGAGGAAATTTGTAGGTGTCAGAGTTGGAAATCTACGTCAGATGTGCTGCCGTGGGCTGCCAGATATGTTTTTAGGGATTTTTTGATGTCTATCAAAATACTGTTCTCTAGGAAAACTTTCTTTCCCCTACCATCAATTATTAATAGCCAAATCCTGAGCTGTTAATGACATACTCATGGTCTCCAGGGTGCTCCCGTAACTCTGGGAACTTGGAGATCATCACTGTTCTCCTTTCTAAAAGGCCACCTAAGGAAAGACTAAGGTTCTCTCCTTCCCCAGTAAAGTGACTTCTTTGTTTTGTTTCAAAAGGGGAAAATGATGAGTTTCTAAGCTTAAAATAAGACACAAACTAGCCTTTTGGTCGGGCATATACTCTATGTCACACTTTAAATTTCTCTAAGACACTGATTCTTTATTCAGTCTGCCTACATGTGCTAAGATTTATGCCTTGCTATGGCTGGGCACCAGTGGCTCACACCCATAATTCTAGCTACTCAGGAAGATGAGATCTGAGGATTGAGGTTCCAAGCCAGACCTGGCAGGAATGTCCATGAGACCCTTAGCTCCAATTAACTACAAAAAGCCAAAAGTGGAGCTGTGGCTTGAGTACAAAATCTAAGAGCAACAAGGTCCAGAGTTCAAAGTCCATGACCAGCACGCATGTGCATACACACACAAACACACACACAGAGATTTATGCATTGCTAGTATGTTAAGGTGCTAAAAAATAAAAAGCTAAATATAGCCAGGTGCTAGTGGTTTATACCTGTAATCCTAGCTACTCAGGAGGCTGAGATCTGAGGATCATGATTCAAAGCCAGCCTGCACGGGAAAATCCCCATAGGATTCCTATCTCCAACTAACCACTCAAAAGGGAAGTGGCGCTGTGGCTGAAATGGTAGAGCGCTAACCTTGAGCACAAAGAGGCTCTGGGACAGCACCCAGGACCTGAAGAATAGGGAAAGATTACTTGGACATAATAGCAACAGCTCTGTTTTTTTTTTCTCTTTGTTAAAACTACCATTTATAAAATTCAAAAATTATTGACAATGAAAATGTATTATTACCTTTATAGTTTAAAAAAAGCCAGCAATGAGGAAGAGGAGATATCATCTTTTTCTTATAGAAAAGATCACAAAAGAGTTGATATAAAAAAAATGGGGAGCTTGGAATGTGGCTTAGTGCAGGGTGCTTCTTAGCATGCATGAAGCCCTGGGTTCACTTCCTCAGTACCACATGAACAGAAAAAGCCAGAAATAGTGCTGCGGCTCAAGTGGGGAGAGGGGCTGGGAAGGTGGCTCAGTGGTAGAGTGCTTGCCTTGCATGCCTGAGGCTCTGGGTTCGATTCCTCAGCACCACATAAGCAAAAAGAAAAAAGCCAGAAGTGGCGCTGTGGCTCAAGTGGTAGAGCGCTAGCCTTGAGCTGAAGAGCTTGAGGGACAGCACCAAGGCCCAGAATTCAGGCCCCAAGACCGCACCCAAAAACAAACAAACAAACAATCAAGTGGGGAGAGTGCTAGTCTTGAACAGTGCCCAGTGCCCAGACCCTGAGTTCAAGCCCCAGGACTGGCAAAAACAAAGTATGTGTGTATATGCCAGTCCTGGGAATTGAACTCAGGGCCGGAGCATTATCCCTGAGCTTTTGTGCTAAAAGCTAGCATTATGCCACTTCTAGGTTTTGGTGGTTAATTGGAGATAAGAGTTTCATGGACTTTCCTGCCCAGGCTTGCTTTGAACCACAATCCTCAGATCTCAGCTTCCTGAGTAGAAGGATTATGGGTATGAACTACCAGAACCCAGCTACATGAAATATTTTTGATATTGGCTTCTTGGTTCAAATTTTTGTATGATGTTTTAAGAATATTTTACTTTTCTAGTTCAGATTGCTCTTCAGTTCGTGAAGGATAAAAAGTAACTTTTCATCCGTTAGAGCAGACTGATCTTTCACCTGCATCACAAACTCTGCATGTGCCTGGAAGATGAAGAGATAGAGGTCTTTGGTGTGCATAGACCCAGTATCAAGGCCTCTTTATCTTACCCGGTAACAGGCAATTCCCACTCCTAGCCAGGTAAGGCATGAAGGTGATCTCTTACAGGCTTGCATGTAGGTTTTCTTGGCTTTTTCATACTGTCAAAAGAAAGTACTGTAAGAGGCAACTTAAAAGATGCTTTTGCAGAATGTGTGAATGAACTGAAAGCTAGATACTTGACCCTTTCTCCAACCGGCATCTCTGCTCTTGGATCTGAGCTATTCCCTGCTGCAGGCACTTTATAACTACCTAGGGCCCAGGAACAACAGTATTCACCAATAACCATCTTGCAATGAAAGACATAAGCTGCTCCTCAAACAGGCAAGTATATCTCATCATCTTGAAGAAAATAACCAAAAGCTACACACTACCTGCTAAGCTTCCAGGACCAAAGACTAAGCTAATGGTCCACCAGTGATTTGGAACTATTTGAACAATATGTACGTTTTTCATGCTTGACCCCATCTTAATTTAACCAATGAAGATGGCCCAAAGATGTACTCAGTGCTATCTTCCCACAGCTGCTATGGAATCATTCTTCTTCTTCTTTTTGGTTGTTGGTCATAGGGCTTGAACTCTGGGCCTGGGTGCTGTCCCTAAGCTCTTCAGCTCAGGGTGAGCACTTTACCACTTGAACCACAACACCACTTCCGGTTTTCTGGTAGTTAATTGGAGATAAGAATCTCATGGAGTTTCCTGCCCCAGCTGGCTTTGAATCATGATCCTCAGATCTCAGCCTCTTGAGCAGCTAGGATTACAAGCATAAGCCACCAGCACCTGGCTTCATTCCTCTTTCTTTGTCCTCCATGTCTCTTTACATTCGGTATTTGAAGGCAAATACCAAATACCAAAAGTTCCACCTAATGTGGAACTTTAAGACTTTGGGTCTGGGCTCTAAAACCCATTACCATTAAGAAACTGTTCTGGAAACTTCAAGCACTGTATTGGAAGGATAATCATGAGGCTTCTGGATAGTTTTTGTACCAGGGCAATTTAAGTTGAGTAACTCTTGCACTGATTTTCATGTCTACTTTAAGGGAGGTATTAAAAGACTAGCGAGAGGAGATAAGCTGGTCAAATAAAAGGTCAGACTTTTACCTGGAAGCAGTTCCTAAAGATTTATAGTCTGGAGAGTTGAGGTAAGGAGTTATATAGAAAGGCTTCAGCAACCACAGTTGCTGAACCAGAGTTCAAGCCCTATGAATAACAACAGAAAAAGAAGAAGAAGAGGAGGAGGAGGAAGAGGAGGAGGAAGAGGAGAAGAAGAAAGATTCCATAGCAGCTGTGGGAAGACAGCACTGAGTACAGCTTTGGCCATCTTCAGGGGTACAGACATTGGTTAAATTAAGACGGGGTCCAGCACGAAAAATGTACACATTGTTAAAATAGTTCCAAATCGCTGGTATGACCTGGTAGACCATTAGCTTAGTCATTGGCCCTGGAAGCTTAGCAGGTAGTGTGTAGCATTTGGGTTTTTTCTTCAAGATGAGATAGACATTACCATTTTTCACTGAAAAGTGACACCATGTAGTGACACACTGAATCCTGGACTAGGGGAGGACTTGACATAGCCTCATCATTTGATGAGGCTATTCCTTTATTACTAAAAGAAAATCTTAGGGCTGGGAAGGTGGCTCAGTGGTAGAGTGCTTGCCTTGCATGCATGAGGCCCTGGGCTCTATTCCTCAGCACCACATAAGCAGAAAACAGCCAGAAGTGGCACTGTGGCTCAAGTGGTAGGGTGCTAGCCTTGAGCTGAAGAGCTGAGGGACAGCGCCCTGGCCCAGAGTTCAGGCCCCACAACCGACCAAAAAGAAAAAAGAAAAGCTTAGAGGATCTACATTTATTCTGATTAAAATACACGTGCAGGAAGTGGCGCTGTGGCTCAAGTGGTAGAGCACTAGCCTTGAGCTGAAGAGCTGAGGGACAGTGCAGAGGCCCAGATTTCAAACCCATCTGACCCAAAAAAATACATGTACATGAAAAATACCATGGTAAACCCTTGGTACAATGAGTATACCCTAAAAATATGAATAATAGAGGGGTAAAACAAGCCCTGTTGGTGGGCAGCATTCAGTGAGGGAGGGAAAACTGAATGGAGAAGATGAATGAGGGTAAATATATTCAAAGTACTTTATATGCACAGATGAAAATTGTTGAAACTGTCTTAACAAAGGGGGCAGAGAGGGCTGGGAAGGTGGCTCAGTGGTAGAGTGCTTGCCTTGCATGCGTGAGGCCCTGGGTTCAATTCTTCAGCACTACATAAGCAGAAAAAGCTGGAAGTAGCAGTGTAGTTCGAAGTGGTAGAGCACTATCCTTGAGCTGAAGGACAGCGCCCAGGCCCAGAGTTCAGGCCCCACCACCGACAAAAAGAAAGAAAGGAAGGAAGGAAGGAAGGAAAGAAAGAAAGAAAGAAAGAAAGAAAGAAAGAAAGAAAGAAAGAAAGAAAGAAAGAAAGAAAGAAAGAAGAAAGAAAAGAAAGGTGGCAGAGATAAGAGAGATTGATAAAGGGGGTGAGGTTGATGGAAAGTATGCATAGAAAAGTCACAATGAAACGCCCTTGTGCAACTGTTTGCTAATAAAAAAAATCTCTCCAAAAAAGCTTTAGAGAGCTGGGCGCCGGTGGCTCGCGCCTGTAATCTTAGCTACTCAGGAGGCTGAGATCTGAGGATCGCAGTTCAAAGCCAGCCCGGGCAAGAAAGTCCGAGAAACTCTTATCTCCAATAAACCACCAGAAAACCGGAAGTGGTGCTGTTGCTCAAGTGGTAGAGCACTAGCCTTGAGCTGAAGAGTTGAGGAAAAGCGTTCAGGCCCAGAGTTCAAGCCCCACGACTGACCAAAAAAAAAAAGCCTTAGAGGCTCTACAAACCACATTTTAAAAACCTCAGGGAACAAACAAGTGTTATGCTTGTAGCTGGCTGTGTAGGGCCTATACCAGGAGGATCATTTGAACCCAGGAGTTTCAGGACATATCCTAGTTGTTATATGGTATGAGAGATTCATTCTCAGTCATTCATTCATATTCTCTCTTTTCTCTCTCTCCTCTCCCTCCCCCCTCTTTTATTGAGGATTGATATGGTGTCACTACCTTTGCTTCAAACTGATTCTGCTCTCTATCTCCCAAGTAGCTGAGATTATATACGTGACTCACCATGTCTGGCTTTTTTATTTTTTTTCTGTTTGTGTAGCTTAAACTCAGGGCCTGGTCATTGTCCCTGAGCATTTCTTGCTCAAAGCTAGCATTCTACTTTGAGCCTCAGTTCCACTTCTGGTTTTCTGGAGATAAGTGTCTCATGGACTTTCCTGCCCTGCTAGCTTTGAAACAAGATCCTTAGGTCTCAGCCTCCTGAGTAGCTAGGATTACAAGCATGAGCCACCAGCACCTGGATGGTTGGTTTGTTTTGAGGAAGACTCTCCTATGTTGTCCAGGTTTATCTCAAACTTCTGGGATCATGTAGTCCTCCTACCTAAGCCTGTGGCATGCTGGGAGAACATGTGTGCTGCCACAAGACCCGTGAGCTGGTGGCTCATACCTGTAATCCTACTCAGGAGACTGAGATCTGAAGATGGTGGTCCTAAGCTAGCCCAGGCATGAAACTCTGTGACGCTACTCAGAAAAGCTGGAAATGGTACTGTGGCTCAAGTGGTAGAGCGCAACAGAGAACTCACCTTGAGCAAAAGAAGCTCAGGAACAGCACTCTGGCTCCGAGATAGGAAGGGGGAAGGCAAAAAAACCCAAGGCTCAGTTCTTATATCTCCAGTGTAAGAGATAGGCTTATAGCTTACCCTCAGCAAATAGCCTAAGAACTGATCAGCTAGTGACAGCAAGGGAAAATGCAGCTTATATTAATATCAGAAATTTCTCTTTGTGAGCCTTCCAATTCCATTATGTGGAATAATTGTTATTTACCTTAAATAAAGAAAGGATTTACTGCTCTGAGCAGGGGCAAAGGAATAAAGTGAGAGCAAATTCAGAGTTGAAAGGCTTTATCAGAATGTTAGCAAACACTGTCATGGGTGAGGGGCCCATGATAGTTCATTCCACTATTGATTTTGGATATATTTGAAATTTTCCATAAGAAAAAGTTGGCTTTTTTCTCACCTCCTAAAATACACCAGATGTCAAGTCAGAGGGAACTGTGGCCTGGGTGAGCTCAGCTAGACCAATGTGATATACTGAGACAGAAGTTTGGAGACGTCCTTTTGAGATCAGGACACTTTCTATTCGTTGAGTCAAGCACAAAATATTTCTACTACTACAAACACAGTTTCTATTACTGTTCAGAAAATACTTAACTAATATGGTATTTACAGAATTCTTAGTAACTTCTTAGTAGCATAATAGAAAAGACCAGAAACAATGGTTTTAGACTGCTGGGTCTGAGTCCTGCTTCTATGAATTACGAACTATCTGATGTTGGGCAATGCACTATCTTTTCATGTGGAGTTTCATCATGATCTTATTAGTAATTTTAGGATGGACATAAATACTTGAACCATTATCAGGTCCTAGACTGTGGCCTGATTATGTGGTTACTACCCACTCTCTACCCTTTACCTCTTTCTCTTCCAGATAGATGAGCCCCAGTCTCAGGAAGATGAAGTGCATCTCAGTTGCATCTACTACAAAACTAACCGTTCGCTCGTAGCATGCCTTGGCCTCCACATGATTTCCACTCAGAAAATAGAGATGGCCCTTCAAAGCCCAGACATTAGGGTTCTGAGAAAGCAGACAAATAATGCATGAGATGAAGTCATATTTAAAAGTACCTTGATCTGATGGGTGTCCGTGGCTCTTGCCTGTAATCCTAGGTACTCAGGAGGCTGAGATCTGAAGATGTTGTTTTGAAGCCAGCCCAGGTAGGAAAGTCCTTGAGACTCTTATTTCCAATTAACCCACTAAAGCCAGAAGTAGAGCTGTAGCTCAAGTGGTAGAGTGCTAGCCTTATGCACATACAGGGTTAGAGCCCAGACCCTGAGTTCAAACTTCAAGACCAGCATGCATACATGCATGCACGTGCTCACACACACAAAGTAACTTTGATGACTTTGATTGAACATTTACATTTATATTAGTAAATCTAATCTAATAGTACCTCGTTATAAACAGGATCATTTAAATATACTGGGAGGTATTTTTCTAGATCTTCCCTCTCCACTTCTTTTTTTCCTTCCTTCATCCCCCCTTCCACTCTCTCTCTGTCTGTCTCTGTCTCTCTCTCCCCCTCTCCCTCTCCCTCTTTCTCTCTCTTTTTGCATTTTTCAAAGAAGGAGGATTTTGGAGGATGACTATTAAGAAAAACACTGAAGTGAGGCTGGGAAGGTGGCTCAGTGGTAGAGTGCTTGCCTCACATGCATGAGGCTCTGGCTTCGATTCCTCAGCACTACATAAGCAGAAAAAGCTGGAAATGACACTGTGGCTCTAGTAGTAGAGTGCTAGCCATGAGAGGAACCGCTCAGGGACAGTGCCCAGGCCCAGAGTTCAGGCAAAAAAAAGAAAGAAAGAAAGAAAGCACTGAAGTATAACCAATATAGAAGTCTTAAGCAGGATAGAGAAGTATAGAAAACTAGATAAGGCACTGTCTGCTAAAAATCTGTCCTTATTTTTCTCTACCTTTGCAAAATTCATTATTATTTTTCAAAAGGAAGGGTAAAGAGAGAGGAGTTTACTAACAACTGATGACCACCACTAGCACCCCCACCCTCACTGGTACCAGAAATCTACTTGTGATATAGTACCATTTTTTTTAAGACAAGGTGTCATCAAGCTGCCAAAACTTCAAATCCTGATTCAAGTATCTTCCTACATCAGCTTCCCAGGTTTCAGGGGCTGAGCCAAGTTAGGGAAATTAAGAGCCAGAGCTAAGAATAAACATGGCACCTGTGGCTCATGCCTGTAATCCTAGATACTCAGGGGGCTGAGATCTGAGGATCACAGTTCAAAGCCAGCCTGGGCAGGAAAGTCCCTATGAGACTCTTACTTCCAACTAATCACTCAAAAACCAGAAGTGGTGCTATGGGCTGAAGGATAGTGCTCAGGCTCTGACTTCAAGCCCCACAACTGACAGAAAGAAAGGAAGAAAGGAGACAGAAAGAAAAACAGAAAGACAAAATAGAAGGGAGGAAGGGAGGAAGGGAAGGAGGGAGGGAGGGAGGGAAGGAAGGAAGGAAGGGAGGGAGGGAGGAAGGGAAGAAAGAAAGGAAGGTAGGTGCTGGGTGCGGGTGGCTCACGCCTGTAATCCTAGCTACTCAGGAGGCTGAAATCTGAGGATCACAGTTCAAAGCCAGCCTGGGCAGTCTGTGAGACTCTAACCTCCAATAAACCACCAGAAAACTGGAAGTGGAGCTGTGGCTTAAGTGGTAGAGTTCTAGCCTTGAGCTGAAGAGCTCAGGGTGCCCAGGCCCAGAGTTCAAGCCCCATGAGTTACCAAAAAAAGAAAGAAAGAAGGGAGGGAGGGGAAGCAGGGAGGGAGGGAGGAAAAGAAAGAAAAAGAGAGAGAATATATAACTGGTATAGGCTAGGTATCATGGCACATTCCTGAAACCCTAGAAACACAGGAGATCACAGTTCAAGGCAAGCCCAGGCAAATCTAGTGAGACACCCTTTCAAAAACAGACTGGGCAAAGTGGGGCACACCAGTAATCCCAGCTACTTTGGAGATGGAGGTAGAAGAATCATGGTATGAGGCTAGCCAAGCAAAGCTATCAAGACTTTATCTGAAATACTAAAAGCATAATGACTTGGGGCATGTCTCAGTATAGAGTACTTAAACTCAGTACCTGAAAAATAAAAACAAAACAAAACAAATTCTTGTATAGCAAGATACAGACACCTAGGTCAAAAGAGCCTCTCATTTGTAAGGCCATCTGGACTCCATAGCTCAATGCTTGAATGATAACCTCAAAACTTTGCAACAGTTGATTGACTGTTACCAAGTGCCTAACATGAATAACCCATGTCCCTAACCTACTTTAGTTAGTAATGACCCAAGGTTAGTAAACTAATCAGACTTAATATCTCAGGATCAAAATAATATAATAACAAGAATGACAAGCATATGAGGTGTCCACAATGAAGAGGAGCACTTATCCTAAGGCAAGTTTAAGTTAACCCTCCAACCACTTTTCACCACAAATGCACCTGATGTTAGAGCTCATGGCACCTCTCATGAAATGCACCCATACCTATTATTGGATGTGTATATATCACCTTCCCTTTGCTTTCCTTTATTAATAAACATTTCACTTCATGACTTGTTCAGAAATTCTTATTCTGCAGTGGAAGGACCACCACAGATTCCCACCAACTTCAGAGACAGGTCTACAGGCACACATTAGCATGCCCTGCTGGCTTCACTTAGTTTGGGGTGTGTGTGTGTTGCATACTAGTCCTGAGGCTTAACCTCAAGGTTTAGGCATTGTCTTTGAGCTTTTTTGCTCAAGGTTGGTGCTCTACCACTTGTGCCCCAACTCCACTTCCACTTTGGTGGTTAATTGGGGATAAGAATCTCACAATTTCCTGCCTGGGATGGCTTTTGAACCATGATCCTCTGATCTCAGTCTCCTAAGAAGCTAGGATTACAGGCGTGAGCCACCGATGCCTGGCTGGCATCATTACCTTTAACGGAGCCCTGTTTTCCCTTCATCCACCAAGAAGCCCTAGTGAAAGCCATTACCAGATAATCCATTTGCACTGCTTGCTGAAGACATTCCTCTGTCTTGGCAAAATCCTTCTTGAGAAGGTGTGTCTGGGCCAGCACCAAGTAATACTCACAGCTGGGGCCTCCTTGAGGACATAGTAGCTCATGTGCAAGCACTCTGTGCACATACTGAAAGGAAATTAGATTTTATGAAGAGCATGGAAATGGCTGCATATTGCCAGTCCCATAGCTTTTGTGGTTGAAGTAGTCTTACTCAAATAATAAGGAGCACCATATAGATTGAAGATTTATACTTATAGAACATAGTGATTGTCCTCAACCTCAGCACATTCAGCACTTCATATTTCATCACCAACTACTACTCAGTCAACAAATGTTGGCATGTTGACATGAATAACCCACAATACTGCACAATTCTGGTCTTGATGGCCATCATACAGAGTTTTAGACTACTTTTTTTTCCTTTTGCTACTGGCATACATTAGTTGTATAAGAGGGTTTCATTTAACATTTGCAAACATGTATACATTGTGTCTCAATCAACCCGATCCCATTCCTCCTTCAAACAATTTCAATGGGGTTCACTGTTTTATTTTCATACATGCAAACAAACAAACCCTTTGAACCATATTCAACCTCATTCATCCTCTTGATTAGCCCTCTCATTAGGTTTATTATGCAGCAAACCAAGGTACCTAATCAACACCCCATTTACACACACCAGTAACATTTCCAGACAGCTATCCTTGAAGGAAATTTAAGGCGAGGTAAAACTTGTCCTGCCAAAATTCAAGACTTGGGATCTTGGAAACAGAAATATATGTTCATGTTTACCAGTTTTGTATTTGGAGGTATTCTTTATTTTTAAACTTTAAAAAACCCATAAATGTGACAAAGTCAGCTTGAACTTGGTAAATGGGAGGGAAAACCTTTCTTTTGTCATCTGTCCTCTCTTCACAAAAGATGTAGAAACCTCCACTAACACACCTCCTTAGGGAACTAGGAGGGTGTGACTGCAGCTTTTCTACTGCTCTCTGGTTCTCTGACTTGGGATAATGACTTACTTAACTCTACGGGAAAGGTAAATATGCTACAAATTCCTGTTCAATGTGAGCCAATTCCACCCAGTTTGTAATTCTTGTTCTTTCCTGCCACTCAGCTGGGGGTATGAGCTCTGCAGGATCAGGATCAGCTCCCTTGTTCCTAGATCTTGCTGTCTCTCTCGCTGCTTTCTCACAAATATGCTTCTGCTTTTTCTTCATCTTTTTTTTCCCCAGTGTTGGGGCTTGAACTCAGGGCCTGGCCACTGTCCCTGAGCTTCTTTTGCTCAAGGCTAGTACTCTGCCACTTGAGTCACAGCGCCACTTCTGGCCTTTTCTTTTTTTAAGGTACTGAGGAATCGAACCCAGGGCTAAATGCATGCTAGGCAGCACTCTACTGCTAAGCCATATTCACAGCCCCAAATATGCTTCTTAATTCCCAGATATCAGGCAGACCTCATCATTTAGGCTCCTCTGATAAAAGGCTACAATTCTCCAGCTGCTTTCCTTGTGACTGCATGGCTAAGTCAAATGTGGGATTAGTCATATTTTTAGACAAGTTTTACCAATAAAATAATCACTACCTAACACTCCCATATAGCATTGTTTATCTGTTTTCAATTGTTCAACATTTGGAAGGGGAAAAGGATATCCCATCACTCATATAAGTTCCCATAAGAAAAGGTGAGAGGGGCTGGGAAGGTGGCTCAGTGGTAGAGCGCTTGCCTTGCAAGCATGAGGCCCTGGGTTCGATTCCTCAGCACCACATAAGCAAAAAGAAAAAAGCCGGAAGTGGCACTGTGGCTCAAATGGTAGGGCACTAGCCTTGAGCTGAAGAGCTGAGGGACAGCGCCCAGGCCCAGAGTTCAGGCCCCACAACCGGACCAAAAAAAAAAAAAATAGTCTTGCTTGGTGGACATTTCTGAATAGTTTAAAGAACACAACCTCACACCTTCTGTGCTATTAGTGACTGCCCTCCAGTACAACCTTGCTAGTCCCAGTCACACTAATGTTAAATAGACTATTATAAAAGTTACATGTTAAAGCTAGAATCGAAAGGATCCAGATTAGAAAAATAATTACATTTTAGATAACATTATTTTAAAATGAATTTTATTGAGATTAAGTGATTACATAAATTTCACAAATTTCACAGTATTGTGAGATACTAATACTTAAAGTCACAACCACATTTGAAACTTCACAAGGCAAATTGTCATTATCATGGTCTATAATGTTTGTGAATTCTATGAGCTTCGACAATACAACTATTTCTTCCACATTGGGTGATATGTACATTTCTTTCCTTTTGCTTAGTGTAAGCTGTTCCCTCTTTCCAAACTCTCATTCCCTCCCTTCCATCTCTGCCCTTGAGTTGCTTACTTCACTTTCATCAATATCCAGTGTAGCTGATGGGCCCCTCTACTGTATTTTTTTCAATTGTTTCCCTCTGATTCTGTGCCCTCCTCCTAGCTTCCCTAAGATGTGTGTGCGCACACACACACGCACACACAAATACCATATATGTGGTAAAAAACATGGAGTCATTCAGAAATGACATGACAAATTGAACGGAGGTCCTTTGTTTCTTGAGTCCTATTTACTTTTTCATATCTCCTTGTATTTTGGATTTAACATCCACCTTCAGGGAGACAATGTGTCATTTGTCTCTCAGCTCTTGGCTTACACCACTCAAAATTATTTGTTTTAGTTCCATCAATTTCCCTGTGAATGCCATTATTTTGTCCTTTCTAATGGTGGCATAATATTCCATTGTATATAGCTACCACAATGTTTTGATCCATTCATCTGTAGTGGGGCATCTGGGTTGTTTCCATATCTTGGCTATTGTGAATAGTGCAGCAAGGAAGATGGAGGTGCATGTGTCCATGTATCCTGGTTCCTGTTGCTCAGGGTAGATGTCTAGGAGTGGTATGGCTGGGTGGTATGGAAGATCTCTGTTTAGTTTTCTGAGGAACGTCCAGACTGCTTTCCAGGGTGGTTGTATTATTGTACATTCCCACCAGCAGTCCACTAGGGTTACTCTTACTCTGCATCTCTGCTAGCATTTGTCATTGTTTGAATTTAGGATATAGGCCATTCTGACTGGTTGTTTTTATTTGCAGTTCCTTTACAGCCAGGGATGATAAACATTTCCTCATGTGTTTCTTTGCCTTTTTTTGTTTGTTTATTTTGGGTCCGGTCGTGGGGCCTGAACTCTGGGCCCTGGGCACTGTCCCTCAGCTCTTCAGCTCAAGGCTAGTGGTCTACCACCTAAGCCACAGCGCCTTTTCCGGCTTTTTTTTTCTTTTTGCTTATGTGGTGCTGAAGAATCGAATCCAGGGCCTCAGGCATGCAAGGCAAGCCTCTACCACTGAGCCAACTTCCCAGCCCTTTCTTTGCCATTTTTATCTCTTCTTCTGAGAAGTCTCTCTTTAGTTCCCTTACCCATTTCATGATTGGTTTGTTAGATTTGGGAGGGATTAGTTTCTTGACTTCTCTGCTTATAATGGATATCAGGCCCTTGTGTGATATATTGCTGGTAAATATTTTTTCCCAATTAGTTGGCTATCTTTCTAGTTTGGTTGCTATGTCTTGAGCTGTGCAGAAACTTTTTATTTTAAGGTAGTCCCATTTGTCCAGTCTCTCTCCAACTTGTTGTGACCCTGGGACTCTGTTCAGGAAGTTGCTGCCTGTGCCTATAAGTTCAAGTGTCTCTCCTACTCTGTCCTGCAGTAGTTTCAGAGTATCAGGTTTGATGTTAAGGTCTTTAATCCATTTTGAGTTGATGTTGGTGCATGGTGATAGGCTGGGGTCCACTTTTAGTTTTTTGCATGTGGCCACCCAGTTTTCCCAGCACCAGTAGTTGAAGAGTCTATGCTTCTTCCACTGTATGTCTTTGGCTCCTTTGTCCAATATCAGCTGACTATAGGTATGTGATTTTATTTCTGGATCTTCTAATCTGTTCCATTGGTCTTTGGATGTATTTTGTGCCAATACCAAGCTGTCTTTGTTATTATGGCTCTATAGTAAAGCTTGAAATCTGGTATTGTGATCCCTCCCACATTGTTTTTTTGCCTAGAATTGCTTTGGCTATTCTAGGTCTTTTGTTGTTCCATATGAATTTTTGGATTGTTTTCTCTATTTCAGTAAAGGGATTTTGATGGGAATTGCATTGAATTTGTATATCATTTTTGGCAGTATGGCTATTTTCACTATATTAATTCTGGCTATTCAAGACATGAAAGGTCTTTCCATTTCCTGGTGTCCTCTATGATTTCTTTCTTTAAGCTTGTATAGTTTTCACTAAATAGGTTTTTAATATCTTCATTAGGTTAATTCTTAGATTTTTTTGAGGTTATTGTGAATGAGGTTGTTTTCCTGATTTCCCTTTCTGCTTGTACATTGTTGGTGTACAGAAAGGCAACTGATTTGGGGGGGTTAATTTTGTATTCTGGTACTTTGCCAAAGTGGTTTATTAGTTTTAGGAGTTTGGGAATGGAGTTTTTGGGATCGTTATGTCATCTGCAAACAGGCATAGCTTAATTTCTTCCTTCCCTATGTGAATCCCTTTAATATCCTTTTATTGCCTTATTGCTCTGGCTAAGGATTCCAAAACTATATTGAAGAGGAGTGGGGAGAGTGGGCATCCTTGCCTTGTTCCTGATTTTAGAGAAGGTTGTAGTTTTTCCCTATTTAGCATAATATTAGCTGTTGGCCTGTCATATATGGCTTTTATTGTTTTAAGAAATGTTCCTTCTACTCCAATTTTCTCCAGACCTTTTAAAATGAATGGACATTGTATTTTATAAAAAGCTTTTTCTGTGTCAATGGAGACAATCATGTGGTTCTTGACCTTGGATCTGTTGATGTGATGGATTACATTTAATGATTTATGTATGCTAATCCATCCCTGCATCTCTGGGATGAAGCCTACTTGATCATAATGTATGTTTCTGGATTCTGCTGGCTAAAATTTTATTGAGAAGTTTTGCATCTGTGTTCATTAAAGAGATTGGTCTGTAGTTCTTTTATGTTGGATCTTTGGTTTGGGGATGAGTGTGATATTGGCTTCATAGAATGAGTTTGGGATTGCTCCCTCTGTTTCTATTTCTCAAAGAGTCTGAG